TTTCAACAAAAAAAAATGTCAAAATCTCGTCCCGCGCGCTCTTGCGGATTCGTAGGAAACCCAACACTTTTTCAACATTTCTGTCAAACGGGCTTTTGCGAGCAACTTTTTCGAACTTCTGCGACAACGGTTGCGCACCTGCCAGGGCCATCATCCCTGTCAAATAATACCATGCGGGACAGATTCGTTTTTTCTTCGCGCGCGCACGCCGAAATCTCCAAAAACCATTGGGTTCTTAAGAATTTTGGCACCGCGCATGTGTACCCACGCCAGTGTAGTAGCCACGGTCGTCCGCACGCCACGAAGTGAAGTGTCCCAACGTCATAGGGCGGGAAGCTGGGTTTGGGTGGTCGCGAAGAGTCGTTTGGATATTTGGTAGAGCTTGTAATGCCCCCCCACGAAGTGGGGGTATTGCCTGGTGTCGTATGAAAACCCTGGCACTGGGGAGAACACCACGCGTTCGGGTAAAATGATTGTTGTTGTTGTTGTTGTTGTTGTTGTTGTTGTTGTTGTTGTTGTTGTTGAACATTATTAATTCTAAAGAATAATTATTGTTGGGCCCCCTGGTGCACGCCCCCCCCGCCGCGCCTAGGCCGCAGCCACGTTTTCATCATTTTCGTGAGGAAGCCTCAGGTAAAACGATGTGATCCAGATCCGGTTGTTTTGTTGTAATCCGTTTTCCCTTGCAAAAAACACTATAAAATGACATTTCTTGTTCTAATATAATCAAATTTCAAGAATCCCTTGCAAAAAATAAGGTAAAGTGGACATTCGCGCGCGCAAGACGAAATCCTTCCAAAAGCTTAGTGTTCGGAGCGATTTTAACATAAAAACATCAAAAAACCAATGGTTTTTCAACAAAAAAATGTCAAAATCTCATCCCGCGCGCTCTTGCGGATTCGTAGGAAACCCAACACTTTTTAAACATTTCTGTCAAACGGGCTTTTGCGAGCAACTTTTTCGAACTTCTGCGACAACGGTTGCGCACCTGCCAGGGCCATCATCCCTGTCAAATAATACCATGCGGGACACATTCGTTTTTTCTTCGCGCGCGCACGCCGAAATCTCGTCGGCCGCGGGGCCCTGTAGTAGCCACGGTCGTCCGCACGCCACGAAGTGAAGTGTCCCAACGTCATAGGGCGGGAAGCTGGGTTTGGGTGGTCGCGAAGAGTCGTTTGGATATTTGGTAGAGCTTGTAATGCCCCCCCACGAAGTGGGGGTATTGCCTGGTGTCGTATGAAAACCCTGGCACTGGGGAGAACACCACGCGTTCGGGTAAAATGATTGTTGTTGTTGTTGTTGTTGTTGTTGTTGTTGTTGTTAGTGTTGTACGTGTTGCTGAAGGTGTGGTTCTTACTGTTGTTGATAGTGTTGTCGTCGTCGTTGTCGTCGTTGTTGTTGTTGCTGCTGCTGCTGTTGTTGCTGCTGTTGTTGCTGCTGTTGTTGTCGCTGCTGCTGTTGCTGTGCTTGTTGCTGCAGTTGTTGTCGTGGTTGTTCTTGTTGTTGAACTCTCACTGAAGAATAATTATTGTTGATCCGCCCCCTCCGGTGCACATTGTGTATTTTTCCAATTGACGTGCCCCTCCAGGCGCTCGCACCTTGTTTTTAATGAAGGAAAATATTCCTCCTCAAGCTCGGCCCCTGGCCCCCGGTTTACAACAACAACAGCTCCCGCTCGATACTTCCTCGAAATTTCCTCTGGTCCCCCGCTCCCGCTTGAATTTTCTAGCGATTTGCTAAAGAATCGCGCTCCCGCCTGAGACCGCGCTCTTGCCATTCAGGAATCGCGCGTTCGCTGGGGACTTCAAATTTACTCAGGAATCGCATTCTCGCTGGAAACTTCCTGGCTAATCACGCAGGACTCACAAAGAAATATATAAACGCACCCACCAAAAAGTGGTATGGTCGAAGACGAAGAGGGCGGGTATCGAGGGTTCGGGAATTGCACGCTGAATGACTCTCGAGCAGATAAGAGCAAACTGATCGTTGTTGCTTTTGGTGGTGATGTTGGTGTTGAGTCTGGTCTTGTTTAGTATTGTTGATGGTGTTGTTGATGTGTTTGTAGCTGTTGGGGTTGCTGTTGTTGTTTCAGTTGGTGCTGTTGATATTGTTGCTGTTGTTGTCGCCGTTGTCATATAGCTGATTATGTTGCTGAGTATGGTGTTGCTGTTAGTGTTGTTGCTGCTGGGATTGTTGTCGCTGTCGCTGTCGTTGTTGTTGTCGTCGTCATCGTTTCTGTTGTTGCTGCGGTTGTCGCTGTAGTGGTTGTTGTTGTTGGTGTTGTTGTCGTTGTTATTCCGTTGATGTTGTTAAGTATGATGTTGTTAGTGGTGTTGCTGTTGTTGCTGATTATCAGGTTGCTATTGTTGTTGCTGTCGTTGTTGTTGATGGTGAGGTTGTTGTTGTTGTTGTTGTTGTTGTTGTTGTTGTTGTTGTTGTTGGTTTCGTGGTTGTCGTCATCGTTGCCGTTGTCGCTGTTGTTGTCGCTCGACGCCCGCTGCAATTCCTCTGAAAACGAGGCTCCCGCTCGAGCGCGGGCTTGATTGGAAATGTGTGTCGTCGGAGGCCCGGTTAGAACGACAACGGCTCCCGCTCGATATTTCCTCACGATTTACCTCAAGACACCCTGGCCAGAGAGGCCCCCGAACTCAGACATGGCGCTCTCGCTCGAGACGTCCTCGTAATTCAGTCAAGTTGGCGGAGGCCCAGCCATGACGACAAGTGCTCCTGCTCGATACTTCCTCACGATTTGCTCCAAGAGCCCCTGGCCAGGAAGGCATCCTAATTTCAGGAACGGCGCTCTCGTTCGAGACGTTCTCGCGATTCAGTCAAATTGGTGGAGGCCCAGCTACGACGACAAGGGTTCTCGTGCAATACTTCCTCAAGACTTATTCGCAGAGGCCCTTACCATAGAGGCCCCCGAACTCAAGAGTGGCGCTCTCGCTCGAGATGTTCCCGTGATTCAGGTTGGCTGGTGCAGGCCCAGACACGACGACAAGGGGTCCCTTGATTCCCGTCGATGTTTCTCAAAATGTATTCCGAGAGCCTTCGGCCAGAGAGGCCCCCGAATTCAGGAACGGCGCTCTCGCTCGAGAGGTCCTCGCACTGCGATCAGGGGCCGCCAAGGGAGATATGCCCCCCGGGAATGGGTGCAATCGAAGACGAAGTGGGCGGGTATCGAGGGTTGGCGTATACAGAATGCGAGTCACGCGTTCCAGTGAGAGCGAACAGACTTAACATGATTGTTGTCGTTGATGTTGTTGTTGCTGTTGTTGTGGTGGTGGTTGTTGTTGTGGTTGTTGCTGTTGCTGTTGCTGTTGTTGTGGTTGTGGTTGTTGTTGTGGTTGTTGTTGTTGGTGTTTGGTGTTGTTATTGTTGTTGTTAATGTTGTTAATGTTGTTGTTGCTGCTGTTGTTGTTGTTGCGTTTGTTGTTGCTGTTGTTGTTGATGCTGCTGTTGTTGTTGCTGCTGCTGTTGTTGTTGTTGATGTTGTTGTTGTTGTTGTTGTTGTTGTTGTTGTTGTTGTTGTTGTTGTTGTTGTTGTTGCTTGATGTTTGTTGCTTGTACTTTTTAGAGCCTTCACCGCCCGCGTCTGCAGCATGGGCCTCTTTGTTGGAGGCCCGTCTCGTCCCCCCCCCCCCCGGGATACGAGATCTGTGCAGTGCCTCGGGGGCGCGCGGTGCCACGTCGACGCCCTCTGTGCCTCTCCCACTCGCCCCGACCCCCTCGCGCTGTGAGGCAGTCACCCTTCAGAGCCCCGAATCATCAGGGGTAACTCGGGTCAGGGCTAACTCGGGTTCGCTTCTCGGGATTCCGAACCCGAGTTACTTCGGGCCCGAGTTACCCCGGATAATTCAGGCGTCCAGAGCCCCACATCATCAGGGGTAACTCGGGTCAGGGCTGACTCGGGTTCCTTCTTCGGGAATCCAAACCCGAGTTACCCTGGACCCGAGCTACCCCGGATAACTCGGGCGCCCAAACCCTCTCAGCACGACGATGGTGAGCGTTTCTTTACTCGTTCTTTTGCCGATGGGCGCGGGCCCTCGCGCCCCCTTCCCTTCCCCCCCCTCTCCACCCGTGGAGTGGGTCTTGGCCGTGTTCGGGCGCCTGCCTCGGGCCGGTGGGGCCCCCCCTAATAAGAGGACGCACAATCCCAAACAGCCGCGCCAAGCAGAGGTCCGGAGCCAGGCACCCCCCCCTTCCCCTCCCCTTCCGCCCAATGTCGAAACGCCGAATTATCCCAGTGCGACCCTACCTGGGAGTTGGAGCATTCAGGAAAGCAGCATCTGCATCCACACCGACAGCGACATGTACATCTGCACCTGCATCTACATCTACATCAACATCAACAGCGAGACTAACATCTACACCTACACCTACATCTACACCTACATCTACATCTACATCTACATCTACATCTACATCTACATCTATATCTACACCTACACCTACACCTACACCTACATCCTCATCTACACCTACACCTACATCTACATGCTATGCTGTGCTAATGCTGCGCTAAGCTAAGGTAAGGTAAGTTAAGCTATGCTAAGCTAAACTGTGCTAAGCTAAGCTCTGCTAAGCTCAGCTCAGCTAAGCTGAGATACGCTAAACTAAGCTAGGCACAGCTAAGCTAAGCTAAACTAAGATGAGACAATCTAAGCTAAGCTTAGCTTAGCTCAGCTAAGCTAAGCTGGGTGAACCCAGGGGGCGCAACTGGGGGAACCGCGGGGCGGATCCTGGGGAAACCGCCCGGGGCGATTTGCACTGCCCAGCCCCTTTAAACACAGAGAGTAAGAACCCTTCTAGGCAGAGCCTAGGTAGGGAATAAAGAAACGCTCACATGGCGATGGCGATGATGATGGCCCGCTCACCCCCCAGACCCCCTCGAGTCCTGAGAAAGTCCCGGCGAGAGGTTTCTCGCTGTGTTCGGCGCCCTTACCTGGCTCCGGGGCCGTCGAAAAACGATGAGAACCTGGTCCCTGGGAATGGGTCCAGACCTCTGGGGGTCGACTTTGTAAAACAAAAAAAAATGACGACGTCGGGGGTCTGGGCGCCCTCCCGTCCCCCAGACCCCCCGGAGTACCGTAACGAACTAGCCTTTGTGGCTGAAGGCGAAGTTGTGCAGCATCTCCGTAGCGGCGCCCTTTGTTAGCCAGGGCCAGGCGGCATGGGCTTCATGTTGGCTTCGGTGGTTTCGCTGGTGGCACTGTCGCTGCAGGCGAGCCGGGGTGCAGCTCAGCAGATCGTTCTGGATGACATGGACTCCGCGCTCCAGATAAGCAGCGTCAACACATTCGAGGGAAGCTTCGAGCCCTGCTTGAGCGACGCCTACAACGGACAGTTTCATCACGATTGGAACAGGAACAAGGGAGAGGCCAGCTTCACTATCGGGTTCCAGCCTCCCCGCAGCGGCTGTTACGCAATTCAGGAGCACCACCCCGGCAGTGATCTGAATTGTCGACGATATCTGCCTCAGAACGTCAGTCTGACCGTCGACTACTGCGAGGGCCTGAGCACGACGATCTACTACGATCAGTCCAGCCCCGCGACCGTGGGAAAGTGGAACACCCTGGGCATGTGGATGTTCTTCGAGGGATGGAGCGGCGCCCTGACCATGCGGAACCATGCCCACGAGGTGTGCCTGGCTGGGCCGGGGCAGTGCTTCATGGTGGTCGACGCCTTCCGCCTCACCCGGGTCGGCGACACCTGCGCGGACGCGGTGGCGCCGGCTCCCGCCCCGGTGGTGGTCAGGAGGAAAAGAAACACACAGACACAATTAATTTTCGATTCCCCGGAAAATATGGAAAAATATGGGAAGTGGGGGGGAAGACAGAAACCCAGAAACTATGGAAACAGATAGGGAATATTTTTATTTGTGTGTATTTATTTGTGTGTCCTGGGGCCCCTTCAGGTGGCGCAGGCGGTGCCGGAAGCGGAAGCGACGGGCGCCACCGAGGCGGGGCTGGAGCACGAGGGCCTGCTGACGCTGCGGTTGGTCGGCCCCACGGTGGACCTCCAGGCGTCGGGAGGAGGAGGAGCGGCGACACCGCCACCCGGGGGGGGCCACCTCCAGCGAGGAGGTTCACGATGCCTCCCCGAGCTGGGGATGGGGGGGCGTGTCGAGCGAGGGGCGGGGCCCACGCAACCGGGGGAGCGACCTCCCCCCTGGCTGGTGGTTCCTAGTCCTCAGTGGTGGTTCGGCGTCACCCCGATCTACTCATACTGTGTGTGCGTCGCCCCCCCAGGGGTCGACGCGCGTGCCGAGAAGTCTTATCTGATGGCCTTCGGCCCATCCCGCTATAAATTCGTTGGGATCTCGTGTGAGGCATCTCGGGGGCCTCCGGGAGGCAGTTTTGATGCCTCTTGGGGGCCGTTTGGGTGCGTCTGGGTGCCTCTCTTGGGCCTCTTGAGGGCCTTTCGCGTGCCTCTTGGGGGCCTCTTGGGGCCCTCTCGGGGCCTCCTGGGGCCCTCCTGGGGCGGAGAGCTCATTCGCCGTCCCTCTCTTGGACCCCTCTTGGTACCGTCGTGTGGTCCTCATAGGCCGCCTTGGGCACCTACTGGGCCCTCTTGGGGCCGTCTTTGGGCCGTCTTTGGGCCGTCTTGGCGGACTTTGGGGGGCCGTCTTGGGGGGTCTCGGGGGCCTCTTGGGCCGTCTTGGAGCGTCGTGGAAAGCCGAAAAGGCGAGAAGACCAAACACCTTCAAAAACGCATGGGAAATCACTCATGTTTGCCTCTTGGGTCCTCTTGGGACGCCTCTTCGAACACTCTTGGGGCGTCTTGGGGCCTCTCGGGCTGTTTCGAGGCCATCTTGGGCGTATTGGACAGATCTTTCGGCAACTCGGGGCCCTCTTGGGCCGTCTTGTGCTCGAGGTCCATTTGGGGACCTCAGTGTCAGTCTTGGCGCCCTCTTGGGCCCCAAACAGTCACGCGACAACGCTTTCCGAAGCCCAGGGGGGGCACATGGCAAGCACAAGAAGACTCGAGAATTTAGGGTCTGGGCCCCCCTAAGCAACTCCTCGAGACTGACTGAGGTTCAGGGGATGAGGCAAAGGACCTGGAGACACGCCCACTCCGTGCCCAGGGACACGGTGGCGGGCAGTATCAAAGACGCCTATGGCGAATCGCCGCCGCCCCTTGCCTGTTTGAAAAGCGCCTCTGTGTGCAAACGCTTGGGTCCTGAGCTCGGCCAAACTATCGGACCTTGTGCTCCCCCAGCCGTTCGGGGAACTCATGGAGGAGAAGGAGGAGGAAGAGGAGGAGGAAGAGGAGGAGGAGGAGGAGAATAAAGAGTCCTCTTGGGAGCCTCTTGGGACACTCGTGCAACCTCCTGGGAGCCTCCTGGGTTCTTCTTGGAGGCCTATGTGGGGCCTCCTCGGGCCTCTGAGGGCCCATTGGGGGGCTTCGTGGGGTCCTCTTTTGCTGTCTTGGGGCGTTTCTATCCCATCGGGCGCCGTCGGAAACCGTCCCGGGGCGCCTCTGAGCCGACTTGGGGACCCTCTTGGGGCGCTTCGGGCCGTCTTGGAAGCCATCTTGACCGTCTTGGGGCCGCCTTGGGGACCTCTTGGGCTGCCTTTGAGCTATCTTGGAGTCCTCCTTGGCCATGTTGGCGCGTCCGAAGCCCGAAGGCGCGAGTATTGCAACATCCCGCAAAAGGTGAGGGAAATCACAGAGTGTGGCCTCTTGGGGCCCTCTGGGGGCCTGTTGGGTCTCTCTTGGAACGTCTGTGTTGGCATTTGGACCATCCTGAGGCCACGTTGGGCCTTCTTGGGTCCATCTCGGGCCTCTTGGGCCTCTCTTGAAGGCATCTCGGCCGTTATTGAGGCATGCTGGGACCGTCTTGGCGGTAATCTTGAGCCACTTTGGCCCTCTTGAGGGCATCTTGGAGGCCATCCCATCTTGGAGCCATCTGGAGCGGACACATCCTTGCCACCCGTGATTGGATGAGCTTTCCAGGTTAGGCTGGCGCGCTGGACCGAAGCCCCATGTGGGAGTTCTTGAGAAAGCACCAACAACCACCAGAAGTCTAGCACGCCGTGTACCCCTGTGGCAAAACCACAGGGGGCGGCGGGTAGAAGACGCCAACGGCGAATCACCGCCGCCCCCTGCCTTCTAGAATCGCCCATGTGGCCGAGCGTTGTGGCCAGAGCTCCGCCAAGAAAATCGGACCATGTGTTCCCCGAACGGTTGTGGAAACTCTTCGGGGAACACTTGGGGGAGGATGGCGGGGAATATCAGAAGGAGGCGGAGGATGAGGTGGAGGAGGAGTAGGAGGAGGGGGTATCTTCGGAGCCTCTGGGGACACTCTTGGGGCCTCCTTGGAGCTTCCTGGGAGCCTCTTGGAGTCATCTTGGGGGCCTCCTTGCCTCTTGGACCGTTCCGGGTCCATCTTAGAGGCCTCTTGGGTGATCTTGGGGCGATCTTTTGGAGCTCTTGGGCCGTCTCGAGCCGTCAGAAGGCCGAAAAGAAGCAAATGCCCAAATCCTTCAAAAACCAACGGGCAATCCATACAATCGGCCTCTTCGGACCTTCCTGGAGGCCTCTTGGGCCGTGTTGGGCCATCTTAGAGCCATCTTGGCCGTCTTGTTGGGCTCCTGGCCCGTCTGATGCCGTCGGAAACTGTTTGGGGGTCGCTCTGGGCCGACTTGGGGCCCTCCTTGGGTGCTCCAGGGCCGTCTTGGAGGCTTTCTGGGGCATCTGAGAGACCTCTTGGGCCGTCTTTGGGCCCTCTTGGGGCCGTTTTGGGCGCCTCTCGGGCAGTCCTGAGGCCATCTTGGAGGTCACTTCGGCGCTCTTGGGGCGATCTGGGGCCGTCTTGGGCCGAAAAAGAACAAATACAATTTGTTTTGAAACACCTACGGGAAATCCATAATTTTAGCCTCTTCGGGCCCTCCTGGAGGGAGGACCTCACGGAGGCCTCTTGGGCCGTCTTGGAGGCCTCTTGGGTACCTTTTGGGCAGCCTTGGGCCGTCTTGGAGGCTTCTTGGGCGGACTTGGAAGTTTCTTGGACCCTCTTGGGGCGTCTTGGAGGCCATCTTGGCCATCTTGGAGCCAGCTTGGAGGCCATCTTGGAGCCGTCTGGAGCAGGAAAAACCTTGGCAACCAGGTCTTCCGGCTCTTTCCGGGTGGCCGGCGTGACGGGCCGGAGCCCCAGGGAGAGTTCTTTTGGAAAAGAACCCAAACCAAAAACGGTAGCGTCTAGCACGCCAGGCACCTTTGTGACAAGCACAGGGGGCGGCGGATCGAAGACGCCTACGGCGAATCACCGCCGCCCCCTGCCTTCGTGGAAGCGCCTATGTAGCCGAACGTTGAGGCCAGACCTGCCAAGCCGTCGGACCATGTGTTCCCCGAATCGGTTTGGAAAGCCTTCGGGGAACACGTGGGCATCTTGAAGGTCATCTTGGCCGTCTTGGAGGCCTCTTGGGCGATCTTTCGGCGATTTTTGGGGACTCTTGGGCCGTCTCGGGCCGTCAGAAGGCCGAAAAGAAGGAAATGTCAAACTCCGTGAAAAAACCCAGGAAAATATATGTTTTTGGCCTCTTCTGGCCTTCCTGGAGGCCCTCTTGGGGGCCTCTTGGGCCGTCTTGGGCCAGCTTCGAGCCAACTTCGGCCATCTTGGTGGGTTCCTGGCACGTCTGACGCCGTCGGGAGCCGTCTTGGAGGCCTTCCTGGGCCAACGGGGGACCCTCTTGGGGCGCTTCGGGGCCGTCTTGGAGGCCATCTTGGGCGTCTTGGAGGCCGTCTTGGGCGTGTTGGAGGCCTCTTGGGCCGTCTTGGGGCCCTCTTGGGGCCATCTTGGAGGCCACTTGGGCCGTCATGGAGCCCTCTGGGGGGCCTCTTGGGCGATCTTGGGGGCCTCTTGGGCCGTCTTGAGCCGTCGGAATGCCGAGAAGAAGCAAATGCCACAATTCTTCAAAGAACATAAGGCAAATCAATGAATTTGGATTCTTCTGGCCCTCCTGGAGACCCTCTAGGAGGCCTCTTGGGCCGTCTGGGAGGCCTCTGGGGGGCCTCGTGTGCCGTCTTGGGCCGTCTTGGACTCTTGGGCCGTCTTGGAGGCCGTCTTGGATTATCTTGGGCGGACTTGGAAGCCATCTTGGGCCATCTTCGCGATTTGTTGATGGGCCCGAGCGAAACGGCCGTTTCTTGGGCAGGACGGGCCGGAGCCCCAGGGGGATCTAGCACGCCAGGCACCCCTGCGATGAATCGACAGGGGGCGGCGGATCTCATGGCCCTCGGCCCATCCCGCCACCATGCCTGGGTTGTAGGTCAGAGGCCTCCTGGATGCTTGTGAGGATCTCTTGGGAGGCCTTTCGGATGCCTCTTGGAGGCGGTTAGGGGTTTGTCTTGAGGCGTCATGGGGACCTCTAGTGTCCTGATCAGGTTCTCTCGGGGCCTTTTGGGGGCCTGATGCGGCCTCTTGGGCGCACCTCGGGGGCGTGCGGGGGGGCTTGGGGCAGTCTTTGTGCGGAGGGCTCCAAGTGTTAGTTCGTGCTCCCCATCTTGGGGCCGTCTTGGGGGCCTTTTGGGCTACTCTTAGGGGCTATTGGGCCGAGGGCGCGTCTTGTGCTGTCTTGGAGAGCGTTTTTTTGTTTTTTGTTGTTTGTTTGTTTTTCCTCTGGCGGGCAACGCTTCTTTACCTGCCCCCCCCAACCGGGTAACGCCAACGCTCGTACGTTTTTAGGAGGTGGAGGGCGGACCCCCCTCCGCTCAGCAGGTATGGCGCTGTGCTCACAGGCGTGGCGTGGTGCTGAAAAGGCATGTGTGGTGCTCACAAACGTGATCTGGCGTTCGCAGGTCCTCCACCTGTTGCGGCGCCGGATTCGCAGGATTGGCGTGGTGATGAAAGGCATGTTTCGGTGCTCACCTGCATGTTGTGGCGCCTTCAGGCTGCTGCAGTGCGCAGACTAGTGTGGTTTACGCCTACATCCCTATGTTATCTTCTCCTGCTCTTCCTACTGGTGGAAGTCTGGAAGCAATGCTGCCAGGGAATTTCGCAGCCATGTCTGGGTGGAACAACGGTTACCCCGAGTCTGTTACAATTGGTGCTGACGAAGGCGAGACGACGTCGAACGATGCCAGGAGTGCAGTTGCTGTATGGCATCACGTAGTCCTACCTCCACTCGCCTTCTCCACCGCCTACTAATATCCTCCCCCTCCTCCTCCTCCTCCGCCTCCTCCTCCCCCTCCTCCTCCTGCTCTCCTTCCTCTTCCCCTCTGGACTGCGCTGTGCGTTATGGCCGTTTGGGCCACATGGAGTTCTCCGCGCAGCACCCTGCCCCTTCGCGTTGTCTTCCCTCTCGTTCCTCCTCGTCCGCCTCGTCGGCTTTCGTTTGCATTTGCGGGCCGAGTTTCGTGACGTGTTCGTCGCGCGCTGGTGCGCCGAGGTACAAAGTGGCTGTTCGTCCTTATTTGCTCATGCGCCATTCGAAACAAATTTGCTTCCAACTTCCATCAGTACCTCCCGCCGTATTCCTCCCCCACCTCGCTCCCGAGTTTCCCTCTTCTTCCCATATATTTCCATCTCCTCGTGGCCGTCTCGAAGCAATTTACGGATGGTCTTGCCGAAATTTCATACAGTGCCAACCTAGCAGCTTGCGCGCCATCGGTCTTACTCTCCAGGCGTTGCGGTGTACACGGGCGACGTGGTGAGGCCTTCCGCGGTCTGTGGCGGGCCCCGGAAAAATAAAAAACTTCGCAAACTACTGATGTGCCCGTTGGCGCGTTTTGCTGTCGACAGGCGTTATGGTGCACGGAAGCATTGTAGCGTGCGCAGGCGTTGTGGTGCGCATGGTTGCTGTGGTGCACGCAGGCGCCGCGGTATACATAGGCGCTTTGGCACACGCAAGCGATGTTGTGTACTCAAGCGCTGTTGCGCACACGGCTGCTGCAGTGTACACATATTTTGTGGCGTACATGGGCGACGTGGTGGCGTTGTGCGCGCAGCTTTTGTGGTGTACCCAAGCACTGTGGTGCACTCAGGCGGCGTTGTCTTGCACCACTTCACTTTGCATTGTCGCGCGCGCAGGCACGGCAGCGCGCGCAGGCAATTGATGTGCCGATGGCGCGGACGCACCTTGGCGGGCGCGCGCCGCGGCCGCCGGTACTGCTACCCGCCGGTCCCCCCCCCCGCAACAGCCGCTATTCAAACTAAGAATAATCATAATTATTATGATAATACGAATGAGAATATGAGTAGTAAACGTAGTACTACCAATACTGATGATCATAATGCGAAACAAGAACCATACGATAAATACCAGTACTAATACGAGTGATACTATTACGAATATTACTATTATAATAAAAATAATAGCGATACGAATCCCTCTCTGGGACGCGCTGAAGACCGAATAGGCGGTCATGCGAAAGCCATGCAGCAAACGTGTGGAATTTTGACGATCCAGGCTCTTCTCGCCGCTGTTATGACGCCTCCGAGACGGCACGTAGGAGGAGGGGAAAACACACAGGCACACTGAATCGTCGAGTCTTCAGAACATATGGGAAGAGATGGTAAGTAGGGGGAAGACAAAGACCCTGGAAATAAGGGAAAATACGGGGGGGGGCCTGCTGTTTGTGTGTATTTATTTGCGTGTGTGCGTGAGTGAGTGAGTGAGTGAGTGAGTGAGTGAGTGAGTGAGTGAGTGTGTGTGTGTGTGTGTGTGTGTGTGTGTGTGTGCGTGTGTGTGTGTGTGTGTGTGTCGTAGGGCACCTTTCAGAAGTGGCATAACCACAGAAATTCGGAGGTCCGCGCACGAATTCCTCGGATCGGCGCTGGCGCCCTCCAGCGGCGCCTCTGGCGCTGCCCTTGGCGCGCTCTTCGCGCGCCAGGAATGGAGGGGCCGCCGATCCGAGAAATCCTCGCGGACCTCCGAGTTTTGCATGGTTGCGTTACAGTGGGGGCGCGCATCAAGAGACCAACTGCTTTTCGTCAGGGTACCCAAGGTCCCAAGGTCTCTTCGCTCCGCGCGCCGCGCGGTGGCTTGCGTTCAGGGTGCTCCAGGTTTCCCCTCAGGTGCACCTCGCGCGCGGGTTTTCAGGGCTTTCCTCGCCCATGCAGAGAACTCGGAGGGACGGTCAATGAAAAGCCAGGCGAAGCCTGGGAAACCCATGGATGCTAAAACGGAGCTCCGGGAAGATTGTTTTTGTAGCAGCCACGGATTTGCTGGCCCTCGCCCACCTTCCGAGTCAATCTCGTGCCTCGGAGCACGGAGGCGGACAAGCTCCGTGGCGGGCGCTCTCTGACCATCCCATGTGAGAGGCGATCTGTTACGCGATGGTTGTACTTTGCGTTCGGTTCGCACGGGAGCCTCCGAGGAGGCCCCAGAGTTTCCGGCCTTTTTGCGTCCCAGAGTCCCAGGCATCGGCGGGCTGGATCGGGGACGCACTGGCGATGCACCTCGGCATGCAGCAGGTCAGCATCCTGAGCATCCGTGCGGCCTCCGGCAGGCGCCTGTCGGGCTCCGACACCAGCAGTTTCCAGGCACGGCTGCAAGTAATCAGAGGGGCAAGAGGTCGTGATAATGATCAGAGGGGCAAGAGGTCATGATAATGATCTGTTCCAGGATGCTTCAGATGCCCTACACTTCCGCGACTCCCGACTTGGTCCGCCCTCCACGATCGGGGAATCCAGGGTGTTGCGGAACGCATCCGGAGCACATCGCGCCATCGCACTATGGTCGTCCAGCTTAAGAGTGACCTTTCGCCCGAGTGGCCCTTGGTGCGCGGCTCTCGCGGCACGCGCGGGGGTGCCAAGCCCGGGCGCGGGACGCGGGGTGCCAAGCCCGCGTGTTCGGGCGCCGAGCTGCGCCGCCCAGGCTCCGCCGCCCCCGGGGCTGCGGCCCGCCGGGAGCAGCCGGCGCGCGCGCGCGGGGAGCTGCACCGTCGGTTGGGCCGCTCTGCCCCGCGGCCTCGCGGCGCTCCCGCTCGGGCACGCGCAGCCTCCGGGGCCGCGGAGAGGCGGAGAGGTCCAGCCGACAGGCAGGCTTGATCGGCAGGCCGCGCACCAGAGGCCACCCAGTCCAAGACGCCACGTAGGTCTGCTCAGTTCTGGCGCTCGTGAGTGTGGAGGCGGGCTGGATCGATACATTACACAGATAGACACACACGGACACCCTCCGGCCTATTCTGCGCGTGCCGTCAGGGAGGGGGGCGGTGTGTGGAGTCCGTGGCTCGCAGTGGTGATCTGTACACCGCCGTCCCCCCCCCCCCGGAGGCCCAGGGACAATCTTTGGAGGGAGGGTGTCTGTGCGTGTTATATATATATATATACATATATATATATATATATATATATATATGTATTTATATATAAATACACCCCCATATATATTGATATATATGTATATATATATATATTAAAAATGTATATGTATGTATATGTATATATATATATATATATATATATATATATGTACATGTGTGTGGCGGACTCTTTGCCAAGGGTCACCCGTACGAGCAGCCACCAGGTGCGCTTCCGAGGCGCGCGGCCGGGGCCCGAGGCCCCCGCCGCGGCCGGCCTCGTGGCGGCGCTGCAGGCGGCCTTCGACGCCGCGGGCCTGGGGGTGGTGGTGGCCTCGGCGGAGGCTCGGCGGACGCGGGGCAGACGCTCGCCATTCGTGCCGGACGAAAGGGGGGGATTGGGAAAGGGGGGGGACGAAATTTGCTGCATGCAGCTGGTTTCGGCCCCGCCGCCAGGCCCATCCCTCGATACATGGGCGCCTCCCGGCGCCAGGAGGCGCTGGGAAAATCAGCTACGTGAGCTGATTCTCAAACCCCCCCTTTGCTATCCCCCCCTTTCGCCCGACCCGAACCACGCACCAAACCATCCCCTTGGCGATGCTCAAGAAAACTTGCGTTTTCGGCCCGAGTCTCGATGATTCCCAATGTTTCCATGCCAATCCTAAGATTGCAATAGAATTTCGGTTCTTGTAGCAAATTCTGAGACTATGAATTTCTTAACCCATGATTTCTTGAGCATTTCGCAGGGTGCACCCCAACCCAACCCGAAGGCCTCAACTTGCCCTCCATTTCCAGTGGGGGGGGGTCGGGGAAGATTGAACAAAAATCACATGGCACCCGTACCCCCCTCCCCCAACCCGGAATTCGGGTCAAATTCGGGTCTTCGGGTTGGGTTGGGGTGGTCTGGTAGGTAGTCAGTCTCAGCATCGTTCACCCGATCCCCATCCCCATCCCCTTCCAGATCCGAGCCCAGCCATCCCACCACCCAAGGCGGGGAAATTGCCCTTCGAAGCCCGGAGGTGGCAATCTATCCCCTTCTCTGGAGGGGGGGGGGTAACTCGGCCAGTTGGGCCTAGGCCACGTCAGGGATGGTCGAGTTCGATTAAGCGATGCTCATGGCCTGGCATCGAGGAGCGAAACCATGCATCAACTGAACCTGCCAGAGGGCCGCATGCCGCCAGGGGGCCTCCAGCGCCGATGCAGAAAATACACGAGGACCGTCGACTGTTTGTGTTTGAGTGGTGTTCGCCTCCTCGAGGTCCAGCATCCGCTTGTCCGCCACGGGGGGCGCCTGCCCCAGGGCGGCTGGAGAGCCTGCACCCCGCATGGCAGCACGTCGGGGTGCAGGTGTCCCAGCCGCCTTGCGACGTACCTCCCCGACCTCCTCCTCCTCCTCCTCCTCCTCCTCCTCATCTTCCTCCTCCTCCTCCTCCTCCTCCTCCTCCTCCTCCTCTCTTCCTCCTCCCCCTCCTCCCCCTCCTCTCTTTTCTCCTCCTCCTCCTCCTCCTCCCACCGCCCTTCGTCCGCCGAGAGGTGGACTGGGTCGCCGTGTACCCGTCTGCGCCAGCGGATGCGGATGCCAGCGGTGAGAGCGCCGCCGGCAATGGAGGTTGGTGGACGTTCTGGTCTGTGCTCGCGCTGCTGACCTTCGCGTTCCTGACCCTGGTGATGGTGTCCGTGGCCTGTGCGTACAGGCATAAGGCGGTCAGCTCAGACGCGGCCGTCGATGCCGAGGCGCCGCCAGAGAAGCCTGTCGACGTGACCAACCCGCCAGAGAGCGACAAGTGGGACATCACCTCGGTTTCCACGGGCCCGCCTGAGAGCGAGAGCAGCTCGATTGAGAGGCCCTCTGCAGCAGAGGCGGTCGAGCCGGTGGAGGTTGTCGGCACGCACGCGTGAGCAAGGGAGCACGAGTTTGGCCTGGCAGGGCAGAAGGTTTACCAGTCAATTGTCCCAGCGTGCCCGATTGGTTCCTCACGTGAGGTAGAGGCACTCGTCAGCCTGTGCGCGCCTGCCTGGTGTACATAGTGTACATATGAGACTGTCTTTCCGCGTGTGGGTGCCCACCTCGTGCTTGGTGAGTGCGCGTGCCTCTAATGGGTGTCCAGCTGAGTGTGTAGAGCGTATGATTGTGAGACTTCATGTGGCAAGGTGCTGGTATCCGAGGGCATTGCACGTCGCCTCTGTTCACGCCACTTCAAGCAAGACGAGGCGGTGAATTTTGTGGCTAGCAGTTTGCAAAGCCGCGTAGCGATGCAGTCACTTGTGGACCCAGGGCCCCACGGCTTGCTACAGTTTTCTGATTCGCCACGTGGCGCAGGGCCCAGCATTTTCCGCTATCGTTCGGTCGCGACGGGCGGTTGGCCATGAACGAAAAGCAGGGGGAAGAAGCGAGGGCTGTCGAGGTTCGGGACATGACAACCGGCAAGCAGCATTTCCCACTGGTCGTGGGGCCTGTTGGGGGGGCCGGTTTGGGGCCTTGTACCCGTAGCAGTCCCAGAACATCTCAGGCCCTCAGGTCCACGACATGTGTGTTCCCAAGTTTCCATGCGATATGTGTGGTATCGGGGTCGCCCCTCTTTCCTCATCCTTCTCTTCCCTCCTTCTACTTCTGCGTACCATATTTTGCCCTTCTCCTGCTGATTCTTCCACTTGTTTCCTCTTTCTTCGTCTTCCCTAATCCTCACCCTTCCTTCCCTCCCTCCCCACATCGCATTCCTCCCCCTTTCCATCCTCCGCTCTTCCTTCTTCTCCAGCGTCTTCCCTCCAGACAACCTCAAGCAGGTATGCAATCGTTCCTCGAGTCACTCCGCTTTTCGAGTAATTGCCGGGTCCGCGCTAGAAAGTGAACGCCCGCGAAGCGCGCACGATGGTTTCGTTATATACATCATGTTGTCGATGCAGGTTCGAGGCGAAACCGTAAAGAACGGTCCCGAACGTCCCTTCATTGGTGTTTTGTCCTGTATCGAGCAACTTTACTAGGACAGCACGACGAAGTACATGCTCCACTCTTGACGTTCGTGCGGTCCTCATTTCAATTGTTTTCTTACCCTACGTGGGACAGGCCCTGTAATTTTCAAGCTGCGATCCTGTAAGCTTTGTGCCGTACCATCATCAGCATCGTACGTCCTCAGTTTGGCAAATGCCTTGATTATCCCATGGCGTCAAGCGAGTCTGGCAGTGTGCTCCATATTCGCATAGCGGACGAGCCGACGCCCTTACCCCATTGAGCGTTCATCGTTTGCTACAAAGCGTACGTAAATGCGTAACCCTACTATTATCGGTAGGTGTAGGTGTGGTAGTCGTTGTTCTGGTAGCGTTCGACACAGCAGGACAAGCAATAACAAACGTACAATAATGCGTAGTCGTTGCGGTGGTCGTAGAGAGGGGACGGTAAGGGTAATGATAACATACGTCTTGGACACCCATGATTGACGCTTCACGTATCCCCATCAGCCCTTCCATACATGGAGACCAGCCGTGTTGCCCCATTCGATGAAGTGGAATTGCATGCATCGCAACAGCCTTCCAGACGGATCCGTGGAATACCGAATCAATTAATCGGCGGAAGAGCCCAACCAGCAAAACATCAACGTCATGCAGAACTTGTGCCCAGGCGAGTTGTCTCAGGATCCTCGTGGAGGCCTCACATGAGAGCCAGCGGGCCATCCAAGCAACATGCTCCGGCACGTTGCCCTGATCAAGGCAACGTAAAACCAGGCAGTGGAACATTCACCCCTAAGGGTCAGTGGAAGACCGAATCCTACCCATGACGGAGGAGACACTGCTGCAGCGCATCCATTTCATCCAGAACCGATGCCCATGCGAGTTGACTTATGAGCCCCGTAAGGGCCTCCTGGAGTCGTGGGGAGGGGAGGAGGGGGGAAGTAACTAGGCCAACGAGGAGATGGAGCAGGAAGAGGAGGAGGAGGAGACCTTGGCACATCTTTTGTTCTGAGAGCGCCTATTGGAGGACTCTTGGAGCCATCTTGGGGCCCTCGTGGGGTTCTGTTGGGGGCGCCCGAGTGCCTTGTTTGGGCTCGTTGAAGTGGCGGGGGCCCTGGTTGGCCCCCGCCCCCCACCCCCTCCCCCGTCGGAGACCCAACATTTGCCCCTTGGAGCGCTCTTGGGTGTTGGGTGGGGCGCTCCTGTGGCCGTCTTGGGGCCATCTTGTCGAGCAGTGGCGAAGTGTCCCCACTTGCCTATAGGCCCACCAAAGAATGTTCTGAGAACCTTCTGTGGTCTGCACAGAATATTCTTAGACATGTCTGATTGAGCTTATCTTGTTTTCACACATCGGGTTCATGTTCTAAGAACTTTGTCTTTGTTATTTAGAACCTATAGGGGTTCTCAGAACATGTCGTGGTAGCCCTAGAGGGATGCCGGAGCGATCGGTCCCTGCTCAATCTTGGGCCCTCTTGGGCACTTGGGGCTCTCTTGGGCAATCTCGATGTCATCTTGACGCCTCAGATGCACGTCGGAGGCCCCAAAGGCGAGAAGTAAGAAGTCATTGGTTCCGTTCGGTTTGGGTGCGATTGTTTGCCTCCGAGGGAGGGTGCCTTAGAAGGCTCCGAGGACGCTTTGAGCAGTTTTTGGTCCTCTCGGAGGTATGCCAGACGCTATCTTGAAACATGTCCGTTCATCTTGTGCCAGTTTGGAGGCCATTTTGGAACCATCTTGGACTCTCTAACCCCTCTCGCCCCCTCAAGTCCAGACCCAGGGCAGGGGGAGGGGGAGGGGTGAACCCAATTCCGAACAGGGGACGGAGGGGTGTTGAAACAGGGAATCAACAAAGAAACGTCCTGCTACCCAACCAGAACGCTGGTAGGAGTGGTAGTAGCCGCGCCACTCGTAGGAAGCAAAAGCAGAGGCAGTAAAATCAGCACCCAGCGGTTGCAGCGGCAGCAGCATCAGCAGCAGCTGGATCCAAGAGGAGAGAGACGACGACAACGACGACCACGGCGACGGCGACTGCGACGGCGACGGCGACGGCGACGGCGACGGCGACGGCGACGGCGACGGCGGCGGCGGTGTGCCACAGGTGGACTCCTCCACGCCTGTCATCGAGGAAGACTTGGCTCCCTCCCGTGCTGCGGAGGAGGCGTGACGCTGCACCGGCTCGGTCCCGCGACGCGCCTGGGGCGGCAGATCGGCGCCCTGGGTTCGGGACGCCCAAAATGGGCACGGAAAGAATGGGTACGACGCCCAACAGCAGTTCCTCTTCATTTTGAACAGGACTCGCTGTCCGCGCCGCCGCGGTCTGTGTCCATCTGAGACAGGAGGCCGCCCGCCCAACAGCGGCCGCTGTTGGTTTGGGACAACATTTGTTGTTGGGCATTGTACCCATTCTTCCCGTACCCATTTCGGGCGTCCATATGGGTGTTATGTTCCCGCGGGAGAGGCGGGGAGAGTGAGGGCCGAGAGAGACAGACAGGAGGAGGACGAAGCGCGTTCCACAGCTCGCACAGTGCCTGCTCGCAAGCGCCCGAAGAACAAATGGTTGCCTCCACGCCATGGATCGTAAGCCCCCTGCGGGGATCCAGGCCACTAGCGAGCATATACCTTACGAGTCATAGAACGAGCTGGTCCAGAGGAGTAGGGGGCAGCAGGAGGAGTGCCGCGTGCAGAACGATGACCAATTCGACTTCTCAGCTTCAAAGAGAAAAGCAACAAGCGCAACCATACACTGTCGACCGTCCGCGCGGAGTTCTTGGATCGGCGCTGGGGTGCCCCGCGCGCCAAGCAGGCGTGTCCCGCGCCGATCGGATATCTGTCTGGCTTTCGGACAGCTTCTGCTCACGTAGTCATTTGTTATTATATGGTATCCTTTTCTTTAGTGGGCCTGTCTCAGTCGCGCGCAGAAGGGGGTATGGGGGAGGGGGGAAGGCTTCTCAGAAGCACCCCTGCTTCTCAGAGGGCGCGGGCCTTGTCTATAGATGTAAGGCCGGCGCCTTCTAAGGAGCAGCCTCCTTCTAAGAAGCCCTCCCCCCTCCCTCCACCCCCTTGTGCGCGCCGCCAACTGTCGCTGCGTTCGCGTTCGCGTGTGGGCGGTGACCTTCGCTCGTTCCGCAGGAGGTCGCGGTGCAAAGCAGCGGGACGAGGAGCGCGAGGAGGGCGAGGAGGATCATGATGTGCACCGCCAGGGAGGGCGAGGAGGCCCTTCTCGGGGCGCGCTCTCGGCTACCCTCTTGCTTTCTCGTGGTCCTCTTTAGGCTCCCCTCGGGCTCGTCTTGGTGGCCTCCTTTGCTCCCTCTCCAGGTCGTCCTCCCCCTCTCCCTCCCGGGATGAGTTTCGTTTCTGGCTCGCCTTGGCGTGGCCTCGAGCTTGCCTGCTGAGTAACCCTGCTGTGCCGCAGCCGTCGTGCAGCTAACACTCCAGCTGATAGTATGATGCACCTGGGTCGTCAGACATCTGCGAGCAGGGTAGCCTGCACATTGGCGGAGCAGCATGAAGCGGAGCGGAAGAGGAAGAGAGAGGAGGCCGGAGAGGAGGCCCCGGAGAGGAGGAGGAGGAGAAGGAGGAGGAGTGGGACGAGGAGGAACAGGAGGAGGAGGAGGAGGAGGAGGAGGTGGAGGAGGAAGAGGAGTGGATTTAGGAAGAGAGAGGAGGCAGGAGGAGGGTTAGGAAAGGGGTGCACGGTCAGGAAAGGGGTGCAGGGGTGCAGGGGGAGAAAGGGGAAGAAGAGGAGGAAGGAGAGGCGTGACAAGGAGGAGGAGGAGGAGGCGGAGGAGGAGGAGGAGGACCGGAGCGTCGAAGGTGGTCTGCGTTCGAAGGGGCCGACGATGTGGATGAGGATGAGGAGGAATAGGAGAACGTGAAGGAGGAGGAGGAGGTGGAGGAGGATGACGAGGACGAGGAGGAAGCGAATGGGGGCGATTGAAGCGGAGGCGGGAGGGAAAATGAGGAGTGAGAATGGGGAAGAATGAGGAGGTGTTGCTGCGCGCGTGTGCCAGCAACGAACCACATTGTGCAACACTGTCAGCAGCGTAGCATGCAGCGTGTACATCCTATTTATCTTGTGGCCTTTGGCCAACTCGGGCACCGTGCCTGCGTCGTGGGCCAGGGGCATCTTGGAGGCGCGGGGGGAGTCCTTGGGAGGCCGTGCCTCTTGGAGGCGGTCTGGGGGCCTCGTCGGGGCCTCTCGGGGCCTTGTTTTGGGCCTCTTGGAGGCCTCCTGCAGCGTCTGGGGGGCTTCTCTGGGGCGTGCTCGCGGTCTGGGAGGTCGCTTGTGGGCGGAGGGCTCGACATGCCGCAGGGGGCGTGCCTGCAGTCTCGGAGGTCGTTTTGGGTGCGGAGGGCTCGCGCTGCCGGTCTCTGTTTTTATCATTTCATCGCTTCGCTCATTCCGCCGGCCCTGGAGCGCTATTTGGGGCCTCCTGGGGCCGTCTTGGGGGCT